GGATTAAAGGCGTGCACCACCACACCCAGCCCTTTCCCTCATTTTACTGACATCACTAAGTTACCACCTACGGTGGTGGGAGCTGAGAACACAAGTAACTCAGGCTTCTTGTCCCCTAGAGCTCACAATTTTAATTTAGCAACTACCCAACGGCTTAAGAGGAAAGATACATATGCTTGAGGTTTAGGTATGGTAACACTCCTTCTTTTGAGGAAAATGACCTTATATACAGTTATCTTAGACAACTGAAGCTTCTCCATGGTTGATAATCTATGTTCTTAGTTAAGGAGCTTCAAACGTTTTACTGCCCTCTCACTCCCGGTACTGAGGACTGAACTGGGAGCCTCACACACGCTAGGCAAACTATGTCCCCGAGCTGTCATCCAGCCCGAGTCACTTTATGACATACCTTTTTCAACTTTTATTGCAATACTCTTTACTGGTTTGTGAGGGACGTTTTGTGTTAAAACCAAAGAAAGAGCTTTCACCGTCCCCGTGTAGGTTTCTAGATTATTCCTCATTTCCCTTCCTCATCTCACATATTTGCGTGACACATTTGTTTATGTGTGACGGGTAATCACAGCCGTCATTTCAGGTGAGGATGTAAAGCAAGTGCAGGTGCTTCTATCCAAACCCACAACGATCCACACGCACCTGTCACAGTGTGCATCGGCTGCACAGGCAGGAGAACCGCATCTGACTATTCCTTCAGAAAAACACACTCATTTCCATCTGCGGATCCCCTGTGCTGGCTCCCCATTTAAGCCTGATGTTCAACAGTGATGAAATAGGAGACAAGACAAGGTATCAGATCATAATTTCAAGCACTCCGAACTATACTTCCAAAGGGAAAGAATGGGACAGAGTTACAGAGCAGAGGGCACTGAGAACTACACATGCTGGGGAAGCCCTTCTACAGGAGAGTTCACCACCACATCCAGCAGTGTGAGTGAGCATAGACCGCAGGGTCTCACGTAACGGTCTCCACACTTCACACTGCTGGGGGAAGCAAAGCTCTGCAAAACTGAAAACCACATGGTGTGTCGGGAACCAGATCTAGAGAGCACTCATTTGTCATCACACGCAGAGAGTCAGTATAATGAAGTTGTTTTGTTTTGCTTGAAGGGCACTGCCTCTTACACTATTCTAAGTTGTCACAAAATTTTCTTTTTAGTATAAGAAAGGTATCACTATGGGCGCATTTTCAGTTGATGTTTTTAGCACAACACTGTACTTTATGAAAGGAGGGGAGGTCTTGAATTTTGTTACCAAGTAGCTACTGACAGAAGGCTCTAGAGCAGTGCTTCTCACCCTTCCTAATGCTGCAACCCTTTAACGCAGTTCCTCATGCTATGGTGACCCCCAAACATCAAACTACTTCATTGCTACTTCATTACTGAAATTCTGCTGCTGTTATGAATCATAATGTAAATATCTGATATACGATCCCCAAGGGGTCGAGACCCCCAGGTTGAGAACCACTGCTCTAGAAGCACACTTAGGACAGTGCAAGGGCAGAAAGTCTACAGTAATTCGATTCCTTGTGTTTTCACACTGGGCTCAATGTAGTGAAGTCCTACTACCGTTTCCACAGAGAACTAATGCTGCTGGCGCTGGAGCTGTCCCACAGTTTCCCTGTCAGTGTCTACAAGGCACTGTAGGCATCAGAGTCACTAATGGTTTGAACCATTGGAGACTGAGATGGATTTGTTTGCCAATGTTTTCCATTAATGAAGATCACCTAGCTAGGTCCCTAATGACACTTGTTTATAACAGACCTCCCAGGAAGCAGAAACCTCCACACAAACTGCAGTCAACACCAGTGCACAAGTCACTCTCTCCAGAGATATAAAAGTAGCAGAGGGCAATCTCCACACCAGCAGATTCAAACAACCTCTGGACCAAAACTCTTAGGGAAAAAACTGTCTCTGCACAGAACATATAGGGACTTTCATCATCTCTCACAACGCACTACAACTTTACAAAGCATTTACATCCTAACAGGCATCCAGCGATTATTTAAGTATATGGTATGATGTATACTTATATGCAAATACTACAAAGGTGAGGAACCTGAGTATCTGGGGGTTGTGTGTGTCTCACAGGAATGTTGCTGGAATCAAACTCACGTAGACAGCAAGTGGGGAGAACAGTTAGAAAATGTCAGGTTTTTCTACTATTCTACATAAAACAAACAACATGTATAATTAATTTAGGAAAATTCCCTTCTCAACTAATATTTCTATGGGGTAAAGCAACTGTATTTTTATGCATATGTGTATACGCATGTATGTATGTGCAGGTGTGTGTGTGTATTCCAGGGATCCTTTCATCTCTATGTGTATGTGTGTGCATTCCAGGTAAGCTTTCATCTCTGTGTGTGTGTGTGTGTGTGTGTGTGTGTGTGTGTGTGTGTGTGTGTGTGTATTCCAGGGATCCTTTCATCTCTGTGTGTATGTGTGTGCATTCCAGGTAAGCTTTCACCTCTGTGTGTGTGTGTGTGTGTGTGTGTGTGTGTGTGTGTGTGTGTATTCCAGGGATCCTTTCATCTCTGTGTGTATGTGTGTGCATTCCAGGTAAGCTTTCATCTCTGTGAGTATATGTGTGTGTGTGTGTGTGTGTGTATTCCAGGGATCCTTCATCTATGTGTGTGTTCTAGGGTGTGTGTGTGTATGTGTGTGTGTGTGTATGTGTGTATTGCAGGGATCTTTCCATCTGTGTGTGTGTGTGTGTGTGTGTGTGTGTGTGTGTGTTTTCCAGGGATCCTTTCATCTCTCTCTTTCCAGTGTGGGGATTACAAGCATGTATCACTGCTCCTGGCACTTGTCCATTGGGTCTATGGACTGAACTTGAGTCCTGATTGTGAGGCAAACACTTTATTGACAGGTGATCGATCTCTCCTGCTCTTGATGTACTTATTATGATGAGTAAAAGCAAATGCAAGATGGGTTCTCCCAATCAAATATATAGTAGCTGCCTTCCTAACTTGAAATTCTATCATGAGTCTAACATCCAATATGCTCTGTTTAAATACCTTACTTTGTTCTTTTTCAGTTTTTCTTGTTACTACTTCATAGTATCCTGTCAATGGCCTTTGTTTCTTCCCAGTGTCCTTTAACTGGCTGGTTCCAATCTTTTGCTGTTTATGTATGTTTTAATGAAAAAATTTTGTTCACTTGAGTTCAATCTGAACATAAGACAGATCTCCAAACGTGATGTATTTTTGGTCAAAGGGCAAAAAAGCATCTTAATTAAATGACCACCTACCAGTCTCTCCTCCACAGACACTGTGCCGCTCTGCAGGAGACTTCCTTCCTGAAGACTGTCCACAGACACACACGCCTGCTTGCTGCCCACTCCCCAGCTTCTGACTGTCCCTAAGAAGGCCAACTTCTAAAGCTATCCGAAAAGCACATTCATTCCATAAATCTTCACTGCAAAAGGTATCATTTGTCTTATTAACACTGTCCAAATCCAAAAGCAGTCCTCTCGGCACCCAAGGCACTCATTTAGTAGACTTCCTGAGTGTTCACTGTGCACTCACAACTGCAGCTGTGACGTGAAAGGATGGGTCCTCAGAGTCTATCATGGAGGAGTTAACAGATAAGAAGAAGAGGAAAACTAGAAATGTAGGAGGGAAGAAATAATGTGTCTGTATGTGTAGCTATGAACATTTAATACTAGACTACAAACACCAGGGAAACAGAAAAATCAGGCTGCAAAGTAGGCAAAGATCAGATCACTGATACGATTATGTCATTCTGTCAGCATAGGCAGTCACTGCAAGACCTTAGGGCTGAGGATGACATGGCCAGATCGCTGTCTGAGATTTACGGACAAGCAGCTAGACCCACAGGTCACCAGAGAGTGAAAGGGTAGAGCAAGAACTAATGGAGTGCCAGGCAGGCACACCTTTTACCGCATGCAGCACTCGAGGCAGAGGCAGGTGAATCTCTGAGAGCAAGGCCAGCCTGGTCTCCAGAGTGAGTTCCAGGACAGTCAGGGCTACACAGGGAAACCTGTCCCCAAAACACCAAAAACAAAAACAAACAACAACAACAAAAAACCCACCAAAAAAACAACAGCAAAAAACAAAACTAATGTGGTGATCCAGATGAAGGCTTGAATTAGGAGACTCAATCTTAGGAGGTGGAGAGGCAGGCATTGATGTGAGATACGGGATGTAGAGAACTAAATGGACACATGTAAGGTAATCAATCCACTCCAGCATCTAAGCCACTCCTTCCGTCAGCAAGAGATGCATATGGACTCAGCCATAGTCTTGTCTGACACTGGAATCTGTGAGGCTGGGAGAGAGGTATGGTGCCCAGAAAAACAAAAAGGCAGGACTGGTTTATCCTCAATTAGCATCATGCCTTAACCCACCAAGTAAGGCAACCACACATTGAATAGTCACGTCTGATGCACCCTCTCTTATGGTAAGTCCTTTATGTGTGAGTCTCTTGATTCCATTCTCCTCTGTGACTATGATGCTGGTAACCTAGACAACTGTAACAATTTAAGTCGGTACAGTGCTGAGAAGAAGATGTGGTTGAGGGACAGCAGCAGGAAAAGGGGCTTTCCCCAAACTCAGCCATCAGAGTCAAGCTTTACATCAGCCTGATATTTTGTAGAACCTGGAATTCTGCCACCAAAAGAAGGCAACCTTTTAGCAGTAAGAAAATCTAGTGACAGTCCCACCTGAACCTTTCCCCTACTTAAGTAAGCCCAGGGACTCTGTGGGGACAAACGGGGGGGGGGCTGTGTGTAACCCATCCTAAACCTGCTACCTCTGTCTTCTCAGGATTCCTGAGAAATTGAAGTGAAACCAAAAACTAATCAACAACCATCAGATGAAAACAAATCCACCACTTAAACCACCCAGGAGTCAGCGCCTCCCTCTCTCCCTCTCTCTCCCTCTCTCTCTCTCTCTCTCTCTCTCACACACACACACACACACACACACACACACACACACACACACACACATCAAACCTTACCTTTCTTTTATCTTCATCTGTTGATTCAAATTTGAAAGTGGCCCTATGCTGAGGGGGAGAGAAAGGAGACATTGTCATTTTAATACATACATTTTAAAGATTGCTTTCTCATCTCAATACTCATCCCAATATTCTTATTAAAGTAAGACTGACGAAATAATATAAAAAAATACATGGAGAGCTGCATGGAAAGACCATGGCGGAAATACAGGTGAGAAGAGGGAATGAAGGCAGCGGCCACCCACGAGGAGGTGGACGCAGCACACAGCCCTGGATAACTGAGCCGGACTTGGAGGGATAAATAGGTGTTAGCTGTAGAGGTATAAACCATACATTCAGGAAGCTAGCAGCTCTGAGAGAGAAATGGGACGCATTAGGGGATGGCACACAGAGGAAGACGGGAATGCAAACACAGATGGACAGAAATTGGAAATACCTGTCAGTGCACTAGCTTTTCCTATGTTGTATTCCATGAGAAATCATCAGAGGTCAGTGGTGGTGGCACACACCTTTAATCCCAGCACTCGGGAGGCAGAGCCAGGTGGATCTCTGAGTTCGAGGCCAGCCTGGTCTACAGAGCGAGTTCCAGGTCAGCCAGGGCTACACAGGGAAACTCTGTCTCAGTGGGAAAAAAAAAAAAAAGGAGAGAGCGAGAGACAGAGAGAGACAGAGAGAGACAGAGACAGAGAGACAGAGAGGAGGGGAACTCATCAGAGAACTGCAGAGAAAGACAACACTCTGGAGAAGAGGCCCCCTCACTCTCACTAGTTGTGACTTCAAGCAAGTACACTGTACCTGGGCTCCTCTTGGGAAAACAGTACTTAGCTAAGAGGGTAATTGTGAGGGTTGTGATAGCTATGGTACCTTAAGACACCGTCTCACTGCCTGGCAAGTAGTAAACAGTGTATATTAGGATACTGTTGTTGCTGTTGCTGCTGCTGCTGCTGCTGCTGCTAATGATATTAACAAAAAATTAACTGGAAGGGAAGAGAGTGTCATGGTTCCCCTGAAATGACTGGCCACAGTGTACTCTCCACTTTGTAGCAGAAGCAAAGGAGAATGGACAAAATAACCGGCTTGTTTGCATAAGGAGTGGTGGTCACAAGACCAAGAGCACTGAATTCGGACTCTCACATTTTAACCAGGAGCGCTCTCCTGAAGCCCACCTGAACGTTTCCTGCTCTCTACTACTTTTCCTGTTTTTCTCACTGTCCATACTGCCCAACACGACTGGCAACCCACCACAGTTAAGCACAGTATGTGTGAAAGACAGCATCATTTTGGTAGTTCTGTTTTATAGCTTTGCAGAAACCGTTTTTGAAACAGAATGAGCTACAGAAGTGTTGGAGGGAGGCAGTCTGAGTGTGAGAAATGGCTAAAGGGAAGACAGGAAGTTAAGAGATAAGGGTCATTTAAGGAAACCTCAAAGAGGCGACTCAAAAATGGATCGGACCAACTGAAACAGGTATGTGAGAGACTAGGACAAGATGTAAAACTTTACATCGGAAATGGCATAGGCTACAGATGACCTGGGGAAGTCCAGGATGGAACAGGAACAACCTTCTGGAAGAGTATTTTGGGCAGCTCACACGCCAGCCCAAGCAGAGCAAGACAAGGCAGAGGACCGTGTGAGGAGCAGCATCACAAGTTGGTGCAGTGCAGTGCCATCTGACACAAACCTTTAAAGGGAAAGGGACTTGGCAACACACATGAGAAGCCACAAAAATATTTACCCCATCTGACCCAGAACTCCTACTCCTATGAGTTTATTTTAATGAAGCCATGTAGAGTGAGAGAAAAATTATCTATGTAAGCACATTCAAGACATATATAGTAAGAGGCGAGCTGAATAATCAACACTGAAAAACGTGTATGTCAAAATATCCTACCCATCTGATAAAATACTGTGTAACAACTAAAAGAAAGGTGATGCATTGGGGTTATTTTATAATAAAAATCTTAAGAATGAAGGATAGAGTAAGTGAACAGGGGAGGGAAGAAGGGGGAGTAGAGGAGGTCATGAATCTGAGGCTAGACTTAGGAATTTACAGAGCCAGGGGTCACGGAAGCCTACATTAAAGATGAGGAGGCAGCAGGCTAATGTTCTCAGGGCTGCTCAGTAGAGGCTCCCTATAAATGAAAATAATTATACTTAGAAACCAAGAAGGCTCAGTTTTTGCCACTCAACATAAAATATTAATTCCGTAAATTATTTGGAATAAATGTGTCTACTTGTTCAAACTTAATACTTCTCCTAAATGTTTTTTGGCATTTATAAGCAGAGGACAGGGAAAAAAGTAATTCTTATTTGGAAAGATACTCAGTAAGTTACAAAAATATCTTCTAAGTGTTTCCTACATAGAATTATTTTTTTAGGTGAGAATTTAGAATAGTACCAAGGGCTAATTTTTCACTTTTCTGTTGCTTTTTCATAGCAAGTATGATCAAAAAATAATAATTTCAAATAATAAATTTAAAGTAATAATAAAAACAGCATTTTAAAAAATAACAGAAGTTTTCAAAGGCCCCATATAGCCAGCATGAAAGCTTAATTTAACTGGAAAATATACTAGCATGGGGGGCACTAGTATATTTTCCAATTAATGATCCATTAAACTCTGAATGGATCAAGCTATTTAGAAACTCAACCCCAGAGACCACTGTACCCAGCAGATGCTGAATTATATAAGGCTGGCTTCACTTACCCAAGCTAAATCAGACCTAACATGCTCTCCTACCTCTCCTTCCAACGCTTCTTAAATACTTGTAATTTTTTGAGACAGGGCTTTCTGAATGTTCCAGGCTGGCCTTTCAATCTTGTCGCCTTACTCCCCTTTCTAAAGCTCAAATGATGGGAACACGTGCCTCTCTAGAGCTGTTAGCCAACTAACATTCATTTCCAGAACAGGAGCAAGTTGAATATAAATCAAAGAGTAAAATCACTGTTCAACTTAAAGACCAGGCAAGCAAGAACCTCTCGGTGACACACCAGACTCATGTCTGCAGGTTTTATTACTATGAGAGGCCCCCCAAGAAAACTCAGCCATCAGATAACCTACTGCTCATTAAGGGCAATACTGGTCAGGCTGCACTTGACAATCCATAAGGTTTTCCTTCCTCTTTTACATGGTACAGCTGGCACCTTGCACATGGTAGGTAGGCATTAAATGGCCACTACTGTTGTTACTGCATGGTCTCTGCTCTAGTATCTGGCTAAATGCTGACCTACTAGAGAATTTGGTGATGTCTACAAGTACACTCAAAGACTACTTCTTAGGAGTCAAAACAGACTGTAAAACAATTTGGAAATAAGTACAATGTGTAACAAGGATATCTCTATGCAAAAACCTAGGGCAAGCCCAAAGTCAAGGCTCAGCCTCAAAAATGGAAAGCAAAACATCCTTCTACATGGTCCAGGATATTTAAATCCCCATTCAAATGCAGAGGCTGCATTTCTAGAACTGTTTCCTTGTTAGCTTTCCCCTAGTCACATTCGTCAAGCATATAAATGATGAGCTCAAGACTACCAACAGTCTTCCTGTCCCGTAACTAACTCTTGGAGATCTACTTAAGTGACAGTATCTTAAGTAACTTTTTCATCATTCATCTGACCATCAATGTGCCATACTTCCAAAATGGAATCGTGTTGGAGATGGCTATGGGACAGTGACATGCCCAGGTGGCCTCTGTGGCTTGCATGTCATCTCTGGATTGATCAGTCACAGTTAATCAAGTCAGTTTCTTCACCTATTAAGTGACAGGTTTGGTTCTATTTTCCGGAGCACTGTACTGCTTCCTTCGCAACTGCTGAGCCCTAAGTTCTCTGCCTTTAGTTACAGAATCAACTGTTTATTTTGAGATGTGTTGCCATAGCTTAGACTACCGAAGCTCTCGGTCTTCCTTCAAGTCTTTTCTGACAAAAGGGTTAAGTAGAGAGGCTCTTTACCATCATTAGCTTCACTGGCATGGGTGCTGAGGTTCATTGTAACACTGTGATTTTGTTGTTCTTTTCTTTTCTTTTTTAAGACAGGGTTTCTCTGTGTAGCCCTGGTGTTATCCTGGACCTTGCTCCGTAGACCAGGCTGGGCCTCCAAAGTGGAGATCCACCTGCCTCTGCCACCCGAGTGCTGGGATTAAAGGCATGCATCATCACCACACAAGAAACAGCTACTCTTAATTTAAAGAATTATTTTCCTATTCTGAAGCAACTTACCCTTGACAAACAGACAAGTTTTTTTCTTTCTGGGATAGAGATTTCTCTCTCTAGGATAACAAGGGCCAGCGAATGAAGCAAGAATGCTTGGAAATGAATTTCTGTACTACAGTAGAAATTGGGTGTATTCTGGAGTCACACAGCTATTGGCTGCTCTGAAAGTGGTAGGAGATACACCATGGTGATGATACCGCTGGAGGTGCAAAGGTTAAGATGAGGAGTGGGGAAGGTCCCCAAATGTCTTAACCGTGTTACATCAACTCAGTGCCATACGCCTTGTTGGAGGCAAACAGCCCTGGGCTCCCGCAGCAGCAGCCCTGCTCTAAGTGCTTTAAACACAGAACCCTTCAGTCCTGACCAAAGCCCCAGGATATGAGGCTTCTCTCCTCATTTGACAGAGGAAGAGAGAGTGCAGCAAAGTTAAGCACCACGGACTTGGCCACATGCATTGTAAACTGAAGATCAGCATCCAGGGAGTCCGGCTCTAGAGCCTGTCCTCTGGCCACACCACCTCATCAAAGATCCAGACTATTAACTCCTCATAACTTAACGGGGAAGACCTCATAGACACTATGCTCAGTGCTTGGCATTGCACTTCAATGAATCTCATCCACACAATAAATAAAAAGAATGGTGTTTTAATCCCTCCTTTTCAGACAAGGCAACTGGGACTTAGAGGCTTGAAATAACTTATCCACAGTCATGAAGCTATTAACAGCAGAACTGAGACCAGAACCGAGGTTTATCTGATGCCAGACCCTGTCTTCTTTCTGTCTACTTGCAACAACCAGCTTATGAGAAAAGATAACATAAAGAGCCCTCCTCCTCTTCTTCCAGACAATGAACTAATTTCTCTCGGCATCATCTATTCCTCTTCTGTTTGGACTCAATGCTCCATAATCACTTCTTACTCAGAACATTTTTCATATCCACTTCTCCAGACAAGAAAACTGAAGAGCATGCCGTCCATCTATTTTCTCGGGGTTTCCGACTCACACCCATCAATCAGTTTACTTCTATTCTTACCCGACTACTCACAGCACAGGTCACCTTCCTAATCATGTCACACAGTTTCTCCCTTTGAGGGGCAGTGCTGCGATGCAACGTGAAGCTCACCTACTTCCTTCGTGCTCCAATCAGCCCTACTCCACGGTTCCTACTATAACTGATAGTAAACAGGAGTGCTTTCTCCTAAAAGAGCTAACTGGTCCCCGTGACACCAGATCAGAACATTCTCAGGCTTGACCACAGAGTGTGTCTGGGAATCTCTGAAGCACTTCAGGACATCACCTTAAACAACAGATGATCCTGACAACACTGGAAACATTCACAGTATGAAAGGGGAAGCTAAGCTCAGACAATACATGGCCATGAGTGACAGGAACATCAAGGAGATCCCCCTGAGGGGAGATCAAGGAGAGGAAGGGATAAACTGGAGGAAGCCAATAAATAGAGGACCTAATTGGTTTTGCCACAAAACAATGACAAGGGGACTAAGATCTCAGTGTAGGTTTTTCCTCCTCCTTTCCCTGTAGAAGAAAGTTCCCATTATTGCTGGGTATCTGGCATATAGTAAGTGCTAAATAAACATTAGTTAATTCAACACAATAGCCAAATTATTATACTTCCTTTTGAAAACCAGCCTGTAGCTCCCCCATATCTTCTCTGGAAAGCAATAATAAATCAAGTTAAAATAATACAATCTACGAAATATGTACACCTACGCATGAAATGAGTTTCTCCTAAATTAGGCAGACATGCTCAACCCTGAAGCATATCAGGTGAAGGGGCTAAGACGTGACTAGAATACAGCCCGTGTATGCGCCCAAAGAAAGCCGCACAGCAAAAAAGGCACTAGACAGCAAGACTCAAATCTCAGTTCCGTCTTCATTAGCTGGGTGAGTTTGGGACTACATTATCATCCTAAATTTTACTATTTGTGAAATGAGGAATGCCCTCACTTTGCTCACGAGGTTGTTGGGAAGATTAAGTGGAAGAGAAGGTTCTTTTAGAAGTATGTCTCCTTTGGGGGTGTTTTCTACTAAGGGCAGAAATGGCATCCTGGCAGTTAAAGCGTATGAAAGTGTAGTAGTGGACACTGACCAGGAGGAGAGGGGGCTGATCAACAGGAAGGGAACTATGAGGACCAAGGTATCTGTCATATCTAGGGTGTGTTTTCACAAATCATCATCAATCATCCTCAGACAAGCCTAGTCTCCTAAAGACTAGAGGTGCTAGGCAGGCCACTTACTCAAGTGAGCATGGTAAGCCTCTGGAAAAGAAAGGGAGAGCTAACGGTTCTGGAGAAAGACTCTCCAGAGAAGGAAGTGGTATTTACAAGAAGACACCATTTCACTGTAAAGTCAAAGAACAATGAATGGACAGTTTGAAGACCGAGGTGGGAAGACTGGCTCCCGAGAACGACCTTGGGCTAGTCATGTAGCCCATTAGAGTCCATTGCAAAACACAGGTAATACCTCACAGGACTGCTGTCAAGATTAAATGAGATAATGAATAGGAAAGCTGTTAATGCGATACAAGTAATAGGTATTATTAGGAGTAGGATTTTCCACCCACTTACAACATATGTCCATGACCTTGGGCCTGATTTCAGTTCTTTGCACCTCGGTTTCCTCATCTATAAAATGGGAAGGATGATACCATCTACCCTATAAATAATCTGAGGATCAAAGGAGATCACATACAAGACATCAACGCCTGGAAAACCATACAATAGTATTGGTACATAAAGAACTGCCATCGTTGCTGGTATGTTTTATGCACGTCAAGGGCCGTATTTATGCAGAGAAGCATGTACTTTTACAGTATACAGGTGAGAAAGCCTCGCATGCATTTTATGCATCCAGGAGTGGGGCACAGGGCAGATGCGCATCTACGGATCCTGGGGGTGTGACTTGCACGCTTAGGAAGAAGACCACAGCACAGGCTGCTGGGCCAGGAATCGGAGGAGTGGGCGCTACAGTTGGGGGGGGGGGGGGGGGGGGGGGGCGGGAGGGGGCAGAGATGCAGGATGCACGGGTAGGAAAGGCTGGGGGCACAAACACGCATGCCCAAGCCGGAAACGTTTTCGGGGGAGAGCAATGCGCATCCCCGGAATGAGGGGGTGGGGGGGTGGGGAGGATGCGAAGTGCAAGCCCTGAGGGCGGCCCGGGGCGAGACAGCGAACGCCCGGGGCCAGAGCTCTTTACCTTGTCGCTGTAATCCCTCAGGACCCGCTCGATAGCCCCCGCCTCGCCGGCCCGGACGATGGAGAGGGCGCGCTCTTCATCCATGGCCGCAGGTGCGGGGGAGCCGCGGCCGCTCTGCGCGCCCCAGCCGCTGCCTCCCAGGTAAACGCCTCGCGCCCCCGCTACCTCGCTCCTTCCCAGCTTCCTTCCTTCCCTCCTTCCCTCCCTCCCTCCAGTCTCCAACCCGCCAGCCTCCGCCCGGGCAGGCCGTACGTCACCGCCCCTCAACTTTCACCCCGAGACGTCACCGCTCCCCCAGCAACCGGCGCCTCGAGGCCTCCCCCTGCCAGGCCCAGGGCTCGGTGGAGGCCTGACGAGCCGCCAGAGACCGGGTCAGGCCCAGCCCCTGCCTACTCTCATCGGTCTACCAGCCTTGGAGAAGAGTTCAGCTTCGTACTGGGCTCTCACAAGCAGAACTGTCCCTCCTGACACTCTATGAATCATTCCCCTTAGCGGACAAGAACTGGCGAGCTGCTCCCCACCCATCTGCGAACCCACGGCTACTAAACTACAATTCCCGGCGTTCAACGGGGTCATCCCACACTGTCATCGGAGTTATTAGGGAGCCGAATGTCATGCCGGGATTGGTAGTCATCCATCGAGAAAGACTTCCCACCAAGGGCATACTGGAAATTGTAGTCCTCTGAAGGCCGGAAACCAGAGTCCTGCGACCGCCTGGGGCCAGAGGAGGAGGGACCGTTAGTGGGAGGGTCTAAAGCGTGTTCTGGCTGGGCTTTTTTTCCTTTGCTGACCTGCACCAGACGTGGCTGGTTGGACCGACTAGCGCTGGCGAAACTGCCGGCCCCTGGTGGGAGCTGTCAAGCGCGGGTTGAGTTCCCTCTATGCTCAGTTAGCGGTTTCGGTGAATGGAATTCTGGTCTGGTTGCGGCTGTGTTATGCACTAGGCTGCAGCAACGTGGGAAATTGCACATAGTTCTTTGTGGAACCCAAACTGATAAAGCAATTTGGCCTAAGTCCCAGGGGTTAGTAAATGAGAAAGTAGAGTTTTGAATCCAGGTCTTTCCCAAAGGTGGCCACTCTCCAGCCACCCGTAAATGTCATACAGAGTAGGAATGAGGGCAGCGGTGACGACGGAGGTGCATGTTTGCCGAGTGTTAGTTCTGTGCCAGACACCCACACTTCACCTGTATTTACTTAATTCCTCAAAAATTCAACCAATATTTGAGAACCTGTGCATTTCTGGGCATTATCCAATACAGCGACCCTCAAAGCAAGTCTCAACCTCACCAAGTGATTCGTTCTCCTGAACATCACCATCAACGGCCCCGCTGTTCTTATTTTAAGATGATCAGTCTTGAAAAATTAAAATGCATAGTTTTAAAATTAAGTTTGGAGTTGGAGCCTGTTCTGTGATCCCAGGCTTTTTCATGGAAAATAGATGAATTCTGCAAGAAATTTCCAAGCGTTTTACCGCCAAGTAATCATCTTTGGTGTCTTCCCTGTTTGCCTCTTCAAAGCTGAAGAGGAAGGAGAGCTGGCAAATGGTTATTCATTTTCTTGGGTTTCTGTTATACTGTGGTAGATATTAGGAATTTAGAGTTGAACAACACAGAAGCTGGGCCCATGGAGCCTAAGATTTCCTGCAGTTTATACTTCAAATGGAGCCAGCATTTTATTGAGCATACAGTTGAACCAATCATTAAAGAGCAGGAAATTGTTGACCTTTTGTTATTGAGACAAATGTTGAAGCCAATCACTAAAGGGAAGGACATCAATGTAGTTTGTGTCTGTGGTTCCCTTGTGCCATTGCCTGTGGCCAGGTGGTGCATCATGGCTCCCTGGCAGGGCATGGCAGAGGAAGCTGCTCACCTCATAGCAGCTGGAAAGCAAAGATCCAGAAAGGAGCTAGGGTTCAATATTCCCCCAACAGCATGCTGCTGTAGACCTGACTCTTTTTGTTTAGATTTTAATGTCTCACCACCTCCCAACAGTGCCATGGATTGGGAACCAAGCCTTTAACAAATGGACCATGAATTGGGGGCCAAGCCTTTAACAAATAGGCCCAGATAGTTCAGATCCAAAGTATGTATCTGTAATAAATTAGGTCAGAAAGATTTTAATCTGACTCTCAAAGGAGAATACTTATAAGAAAGGTCTTGTAAACTACAACCCTAAGATTAAAATAGGTAGCCATTTTTTACATCTACAGACATTTACTACCCATGATTTAAATGGGTCATTGAAATGGCATTTACTGGATCATTGACAAAAGATTATTCCTATTTCATAGAGAACAGGTCCAGGTAAATTAAGTAACAAACTGGAAATCCAAATGAAAGCTGTCCAGTACTTCATGAAGTCCTATATGGCTATTTATTTATTTGGGAATGGCTTAGTTAGGGTTTCTATTGATGCAATGAAATACCATGACCAAAAAGCTATTTGGGGAGGAAAAAAATTAATTTGACTTAAACTTCCACATCACTGTTCATCACCAAAGGAAGTCAGGGCAGGAATTGATGTAGAGGCCATGGAGGATGTTGCTTATTGGCTTGCTTTCCGTGGCTTGCTCAGCCTGCTTTCTTACAGAACCCGGGAACACCTGCCCAGGGATGGCACCATCCACCATGGGCTGGGCAATCCCCCAAGAATCACTAATTCAGAAAATGCCTTACAGCTGGATCTTATGGCGGCATTTTCTCAGTTGAGGCTTCTTCTTCTCTGATGACTCTAACTTGTGTCAAGTTGACATAAAACTAGCCAGTATAGGAGCCAAAGGTCTCCAGAAGAGAATATTAACAAGAAGAAAGTATCCTACTAAAGATTTTTTTCTTTTAAAAAAAAGGGGGGCCTTGCTGGGTGGTGGTGGCACACACCTTTAATCCCAGCACTCAGGAGGCAGAACCAGGTGGATCTCTGTGAGTTTGAGGCCAGCCTGGTCTACAGAGTAAGATCCAGGACAGGCACCAAAACTACACAGAGAAACCCTGTTTCAAAAAAAAAAAAAAAATGGGGGCTCCTACACATCTTTGAAATGTTGGTTTGGCAGAAATAGGCTATTTTTTTTTAGGTTCCAGTTCTGTATTTCTTAGAGTAATACATGAATTAGTAGCTTGAGAAATTATATTTTAATAATTTTAATTAAGTGTTTATATTCTAATTTTATGAATCAAATTATCTTTGACTCTAACTCAAGTTGTTCTTTAACCACTGATGAGACTCTAGTCCCAGAAAAAATGATGTGACTTGTCCAAAGTCAATAGTTAAAGCAGACTCTGGGACAGAGCCTAGACTAGACTACTACATCACTTCACCTCCCTAAATACTGGTCATGTGATACTTTCAGTGACTGGAAACTCTAGTCTAGCACATAATCTGGTTTCTCTGATTGTATAGGTGGCATGGTACCAAGGAATTAGGATGTAGAACTTCAGTAATCAAAGCGACAAACACTTAAAAGCCATTACTTTTGAGAGATACTAACACAATGCTTCCGTGCAAATATATGTATAGAGCTTTGCTATTCTCAAAATATTTCCACATAAATCATCTGACTTAACCTTTACAATAGCAGGAAAATGTAAGGTCAATAGGACAGGCACTATCTTTTTTATAAAGAAAAGAGAAGTTTGGGTGTTGATTATCTTGCTCATAGATGAACAAATCTGCTAGTTAAGCTAAGGGATGGATGTGCTCTGTGTTCTGATATCAAGATTTGTGGCCTTTGAGTTGGGACCAGTGAAAAGGCCCACAAACAGATACTAGTCATGTATGTATTTATTTGTTTTCACTCGAGACTTGTATATGTCCTGCTGTAGAATTTCCTCTTGCCATGACAGCAGGATATTTGGAATGTGCCACACTGAAAGCCTTTAAGGGGCTCCTGGCATGACAGCCCCTCCAACCCAGCCCTTCCACTCCAGGTGCCATACTTCTTTGGCCATTTCCCTTAGAGGCAGAAATTTAGAAATTAGACAGCTCAGGCTGGTAACTGTAGTGCCAGAACAGGAGTTCAGAAAACTCCAGTTGTTCAAAGACAGGACCTGTCACTTGGCAACCACTCCTGTTCCAGACAGCCACTCAGCCTCTCTTCACCCAGTGGTTTCAGTGTGAGCGCCAGGGTTGACTTGGGTCTTATTCTAGTGCTTCGTTCGAAAGAAACCCGCTTCTAAACCGACAAAACTACATCTGCACACAACAAAACCGTATTTGCGTGCATCTGGTAGAAAAGCACATTCACGAGACGGGCTGTGAAAATGACCATTGTGCGGAGATGAGGAATTCTGACTCAGTCTGTCTGTCCTGAGGCCTGGGTATTGGTCATTTCAGAAGCTTTCCAGTGGATTTAAGCCGGAGTTGGGATTTAAAAACCAGTGAGTGGATATTTTTGAAAGAAGATCACTCAGTGAACTAGTTTTTGGGTGACCTCCAATATAAAGGTTTTTGAGAAATTGAATAACATGGCAAAATGAATTATCTTTATTTCATTTTTTTATGAAGAATGAAGTCCCCCTTTCATAGCAAACTAATTAATGTAGTTTGTTCCTTTAACAAATATTTTCCATTTTTTTTGGAAATATCACATTGTGTTAGACTCCATACAAAATAAATAAAATCAAGTAGAAGCAATTGATCCCATCCTTTGCAGATCTAAGAAATAACCAGATGGAAATGAATTCTTTTTAGTGATAAGAGGGAAATTGGACATAATTACCACACAAATCAAAACAAGTAATGGGGAAATCCGGGAATCAGAAGAGCTTTCTCAGAGGAGCTATGCTATAGGGAATGCTGGAGAGACAGAAAATGCTGGAAGAAAAGCTCAGAATGTATGCTGTTGGACGGCTCAGCCAGGGAAGGCACTTGTTGCCAAGTCCAGTGCCCCAGTTTGATGGCTGGATCCTCCCTCGGGGAAGGAAGCAGCAGCTCTTGCAGGCTGCCCTCTGACCTCCACAAGCATGTGGCGGCATGCACACTTTAGAATGTGTGATAGCCAGCCTCAGTAATCTTTTCAGTGCTCAGAGCCTGTACGTTGGCAAATATACAGATAATTGATCTACATTGGCTAGATACAATAGGTTTTCATATTTAGCACAGGAAATGGGCCCTGCCCTTCAGGGGTTTTTATTTACCCAAGTTCTGGAATGTTCGTCAGCTCTATTTGCAGCTTATTGACTTGGAATCCCATTCGCATTCCTCTTGGGCATCCACCCCTTTGGGTGGCAGTGCAGAACTGTGGACATATAGCCTGGCCTAGGGGATGGAAACATCTAGTCTTCAGTCCCAACTCACTGTGAGTCTCAAAAGCCTATGGCTTGTCAAATATCTGGAAACCCTTCTCAAAACCAACAGAGAAAAAAACAAAAACAAAAACCCTTGCATGGATGTTCACTCTGTTTGGGGTATTAAGGGTACATCACTTGCACCCCTGGGATGTTAATTTTCTCAGCTGCAATGAACTTACTTTGTGGGATGTCATAGGGTTAAAAGAGATGGTTGTCAGTGTGGCCAGCATATGGGATTTGGCATGGAGTGGCCATGCCCAGTGTTCGTTGGACTGAAATGAGGGGAGGGGGAGTTGTTGTCCTTAAAATAACATTCTGAATCTTCAGAATTAAAATAGTTTTTTTTCTTGGGTTATTTTTTATTTTTGTTTTCTTTTTGTGCTACTGCTGTTGTTACTCCTTTTTAAAGATTTATTTTTAATTATGTGTGTTTGTATGCACAGGTGCACATTATATATGCCCAAGGAGTCCAGGAGAGTGTCAGGTCCACCGGAGCTGAGTTACAGGCGGTTGTGAACTGCCTGATGCTGGTGCTGGGCACAGGGCACAATGCCTCACCAACTGTCCTGCTGCAGTTGTTAGTGAAAGAAAACTCCAGTGTGCTGTGTGATTTGTATGGCTCTAAAGTGACCAACTTCTTTCACACTGCATGCTGCCTTACAGTTTTGAGACAGTGACCATGCCGTGTGTGTGTGTGTGTGTGTGTGTGTGTGTGTGTGTGTGTGTGTGTAAATAAAGAATCTAAAGCACTCTTTCAACACCTCCTCAAACCAATGCCTTCGCAATTAAGTGTATTGAAATTCACATGTCAGAGGAAATATACTCTCACAGCCCTTCCTCCCAGCACCTCCTTTTGCAGTAAAGAATTAATTTACTTACCAACATTTGATTAAACTCTTAAGGTTCAACCCTAGGAGGAGGCGGCACTGGACAAAGGGTTATTGTCATTCATCATCAACACGTTTAAGTCTTCCCCTCCAGTTGCCTATGAAGGATTAGCATTTCTCTGAAAGGAGCAGGACGGAATAAATTGCATCCAGGCCAAAGAGCTGGCAGCTCCTTTCAGCGGGGGCACATACCGGGCGGGAGCTTTTCCCATATTAGTCAGCGTTAGCTCAACTTTTGGGCAGGGCCTACATCTGAATTTCATGGGTTTCAGGATCAGTCAAAATAGAATTGTAGGGTTGCGGAGGTCAGAGGCCACCTCTGTCAAAGGGTAGTGACCTTAACAGCAAGAGGTAGCCAAGCCCTCTCCCACTTCCCCCCACACCCCAATGACTTCATTCTAGTGAATGCTTGGCTCTGTGCTCCTCCTTCCCTGTGGTGCTTTTTTTCCCCCCAACCTGGTAATAAAAATCCCCTTGAGACCTGATTTTTAAAAAAAAGGAAAAGAAAAGAAAAACATTATTATTGATTTCCTTTGTTCCTGTTTCTTCATAGAATAACCAAATCTTGGTCCTTGATCACGTATTGGCCATGCATTCCTTGGAAAATGACAGAGGAAAAGCTGTCATTCTTGTACAGTGTGTGGAATGCCACCTTGGGTGGAGGGGAAGATCTGGAGCCTCGCTTAGGAACTGCCTTGGTTTAATGAGCACAGTTTCCCAGAACTTCTGAGCGTCTCCTGGGCACCGGTAGGTTGTACTACTTCGGTCAAGCTTGATTTAAAAGCTGCAAAGCTGCTTAGGGAGGGACAGGATAGGGTAGTATGGGGACAAAGGGAGGAAGGAAGAAGGCCGTGTGCTGTCATAGAAAGCTCAGATGGACCTGGCGGGTGGGTGTTCAAATCCCAGTTCTGCCCTTTAAGCTGTGTGCCCTTGAACAAGGATGTAAACTGAAGTGAGTAACCACTGACTAGGCAGGGAGGTGATTAGGTGTAAATGTGGTGTCTTTAATGTGCCTAGTACCTGGCAGACCCCAAGTGATAGCCTAGGTGGGTTTCAGAGCTCTCATAGACCACTGAGAGAGAGCTAAGAGTGAGGCAGAGGCCTCCTCTAACGATTGTCTTGCCTTGACTGCATCTCAGCCCCTAAGACACCATCTATTCCTGCCCTCTTAGAGGTTAGTCTTGTGCCAGGACCTTTTGGACACCGACCTTCAAAGGGGCACAGTTTGGCAGTTCTTGAGAACGAACTTATTTCAAACTTTCCTTAGACTTTTCTATTATACTGTTATAAATACCACACATCGGCCCGGCAGCTGTTTCTGAAGCTGATTTCTCTCACCCCTGCTGTCATGGTCAGACCTGATTCTTTTTCATAAAGGATCTCAAAGAACTGGTGTTAGCTCTTGAAGCCTTTCTAATGAGAAAGGGAGGCGGAGGATGGGGAGTCCTGCTTCTCGCCCACCACCTCTCATCACCCACACTCCTAGCAACAGCTCTTAACTCCATGGCCCACGTCTTCTGCCCCACCTACAGCAGCAGCAGCAAAATGTGTGTGTGTGTGTGTGTGTGTGTGTGTGTGTGTGTGTGTGTGTGTGTGTTGGGGGAGGGGGGTCTGAGGTTCAGGAAGAGAGTGGGGCAAGACTCAGGAAGGAGGCTGGAAGAGCACAGAAGGCCCTGACCTCCCAGGAAGAAGAGGAGACCACGAGGACAGTGTCCAGGCTGGCTGAGCCCGAGAGGCGGCCAAGGAACCAAAGCTGTGAAGTTCCAGGTTAGGAGAGTAGCACAAAGTGACAGGGACTGGTGTAGATGGAGGGCCAAGGCACAGCACAGAGAGGGGAAGGGTTGGCTGCTGAGGAAACAGAACAGTGTAGGCTGCAGAGAAGGGCCAATTTTTCATAGTTAATGGCTCTCCTCTCTGGATACACTGGAACCCTGTAGGAAAAACAGACAAACAAACAGAAACAGAACTTTATGTGTAGTAGGTCCCTGAATCTTGGAGTTTCAAGGTGGAAAGGTCATGTTTCTCAACCTTAAATACGTATGAGAGCTTAAAAATGCTGGTGCCTAGGCTACAGTACCACATGGACTGTTCGCTCTAAGTCACATCCTTTCTAGAATGGGAATGTCCCTGCTATAGCTTGTCCTTGGTGGGACCAGGATTTGGCCTCATCACCACTGCTTCACTTTAATAAGAATAAATGAATAAAAATATCCATCACTTGTGTTTTTAAGCTTCTGGCGATTTACGTATTCGAGGCATTTGTTCCAATCTCATTTCGAAATCTTTATTCTCACTTCAGAGAGCTTTCCTCCTAGGCTCCTGGAGACCCATGGCGACTTTTCCTTTCTCCATCTGCCGATAATAGCATCTTTATGTCATGCCCTTTCCCCGGGTTTAATATTTTAAAGTTTTGCCATCTACCAGTGAGAGAAACAGAGTCCCAAAGCTCCCTGTACATCTCCAGCTTGACAGCAGACATTTTGATGGCTCTCAAGGCAGATGGGTCAAAGCCAGTTCTGAATGGAGGGAAAATTGCCAAAGACTCCTGGTGGGAGAGGGCGGGTGAGCAGGGTCGGACAGGTGACAGTGGTGAGGTCTTTGGAGGTGACAGGCAGGTGTACCAGCTGAGCTTGCAGGCACGGATCTCAGTCTGAGTGTTGGCACCAGCTGGAGATGCCTCCCTGAACCATACAATCTAATTTGTCTGTCCCTCTCCTTACCCAAATCTGCTAGCCTTGGTCTTTGAGCATACACACCATGATCTGAAATCTCAGTGCCAGTTAACTTGCCTGCTTCAGGTCCAAAATATGGAAGTAATACATCCAAGGTCATATGACAAGGAACCACTGGCTACCCTAATGATTTGGGACTTTAACCCCGTGGTTAAACATTCCCGATTTGCATGGGTTGCCTTCTCTGAGAGGCCACATGTTCCCTTTCTGTCTAGATGTGGGATGACTTGAGCCCTGGCAAAGGACACAGCAGGACAAATGCCGAGGACGCCATGGACCTGCAGCGTGGGTGACGTCCTGGCTAATGTTCATGACTTCAGCCAGTCTCAAGCTGTCAGAGGCCCTTTCAAGAAAATGTCCTATTGCCAGGATTCTCTGCTTTTCTTGACAAGTGACTGGCCCCACTCCCAGCTGCCAGCCTGGCCCATCCCAGCTCTGCCGACTGGAGAGGAACCATCAGAAAGAGAAGATACCTTGAGTCCTGCCCCCAGCCGCTGTTGCCTTTCCTGGTTAGAGCCTTTCCATGACTTACGGTGAAGGTTTTAGCGTGTTTGGGAACAAAGATCGTGCCCTTCGCTCCTAGGGAGGATGCCCTGTGCCCGCTGGCCCTCATCTCAAGCTGCTTTCTTTGTTGGTATCACTCATTCCTGGTTTAAGCTGTGAGGACCATGCACTTACTTGGAAAGTCATGAAACCTTCCCTTCTCTTTCTCTCAGCCTCAGGTTCTCGTCAAAGCTGACAAGTTTTCACCTAAAGCCCTTGCAGCTCATGAACTAGTTAGTGGCTGTTGTTTGTAAATGGGTGCTGTTTATCCTGTTACCTGGTTAGAGAATTTGATAATGACTTGTGGTTTGTTGTTGTTTGGGCTTTTTCTTTTGTTGTGTTTTGTTTTTGTGCTCATTAAGTCAAAGGTCAGACACACCACACCTTTGTTTATACAGCACTCACTTTCAAGTCTGAGAGACCAATAGGGCCGGTCATCCTGAGGTTTATTCTCAACAGCGGCTAAATTCAAAATTTCATTCATCTTCTCTCTTGCTTTCATCATATAAAGCTAATGGATTGTGAACAAAAGGTCAAACTAATTTACCATGAGAGAATGAGATCCAGTGTCTGTGTTCTTTTTTGTAGAATAACACAGCTGAATATACTTAAGGGGAGGCTATGTGTAACATAAATAATTTCCATCTTAAAATCATCTTTCAGGTATAAACATCTTATGTAATAGCACACAAGGGCTTGGCTTTAAAAATAAATTTTTCAAAATGCAAATGAAGTTGTCACCTCCTCATACCTTAGGGTTAACACAGTCACTCCTGCACAGGCTTCCAGAAGTTTATGGCTCTGACTCTCTCTTAGCTCCTAGATCCTTAACATTTGGGCAAAATGAAACTACTTCTTTTGTACCCTACGCCCCTTCATCACAGAATCAAAATGCTGTGCTGGAGAAGAATTTCATTCTTGTTGAGTATTCAGGGGTGTTACTGCTCTGTTTATTCTCATTTAAAGCAAGGCACTTGAATATCTTTACACCCAATGAGCATCGAAGCACGATGAATTTAGTACCAGGGGAATGCTTAATGCTGCTGCTGCTGCTGCTGCTGCTGCTGCTGCTGAAGATGCTCCTGCAAGAGCTGCAAGGCAAACGTAGGGCAGATCCCAGTTGGTAGAGCAGATCTACAAACCTTCAATGGGCTACAGGTACTATACTCACTCGGTCATTTGTCAGGACGAGATGTGTGGACCTGCCCGAACTGTATGATTGTTTTATGACAAGTTGAAAGGGAACTGAATAAACAAAACCACACAGTCATACAAGGCTTTTGTTGTTTGTTTAGTTGCTTTTATTTATTTATTTAGAGACCAGACCTAGGCTGGCTTTGAACTCACTATTCTCCACCCTCGGCTTTCTGCATGCAGGGGGTTATAGGTATGTACCACCACCACACCCAGCAAGACCTTTTAGTTTTCTTCTGCTTACTCGTGCCCCAAGAATTTACGAATGTTATTTATATCGTGGGCACACACCTGGCATAGCAATGCAAATGAAAAACAAATGGAAGCTGGTCCTTTCAATACTTTTTATTTGAGTGTGAAACCATTCATATCTTGCACAACTGTACAGATAGTGAAACCATTCATATCTTGCACAACTGTACAGATGAAACTATTTCCATTTTAGCTGTAGACATGATTATCACACTGGGTGGTGTGATCAAACATTTTATTTACAGAACATTTGCTAAAACATCCGATGTCATATTTCCATTTATTTCTTACCCATAGGGTAATAGGTCCACCATAATTGCTTGGTGCATCTTATAATACAGAAAGAAAACCTATGTTAATCTCTAACAAACCTCACAAATAGCTACAAATCTGACAAAAAAATACCTACGAAAAAATTTTCCCAAAGTACAATACACTTTTATTTCCACACATACACAGTATAGTATAGACTCAAAGGCACAGCTTTGATTTTTTTTTTTTTCTAGCAAAGTGTCGGGAAGTATTCTAGTCTTATGAAGGAACCACAACAGCTGTTTTCATCCTTGGTGCTTGCTAAGTGAAAGTTTGACCCATCCAGCTTCACAAAGCAACACAGCAAAGAATGATGCTTAGTGCCATAAATCCACGTTTCTCACAGAACTTAAGAAACCCTCTCTTGCCTTTTGCTGATGCTAGCCATTGTGCAAACTTAGGACAAATCCTTGTACACAGAAGAACTGGTCCCTACAGACATCAATCAACTAAAGGCGACATACATCAGGCCTCTTAGGTCCCTCAAAACAGTGCTTACATTCCAAGAGAACGCAGGTACGATGGCAGGTATGAGTGGAGCAGGTTGCTTAGCATTTTCAGGAACTTCCATTTGGCCCTAGGGCTCCAGGAAGTAGTGATGACACCAGCTGGAAGCAGGAGGTGGGGAACATGTCTGAGGGCTGCTAACTGGACAGTGAGGTGACACTCATGGCAAGGCAAATGCTCTTGGTAAATTATGTGTCCATCCAAGAGCACAAACCAGAGTCTGGCTCCAGTATCCATCCTTCAAGACTAAAGAGCTTTGTCAACAGGAAAATAAGTACCCTACAGGGAGTGGTTGCCATGCAAGGTCATGGAACAGAGGGGAAAGGCACAGATTGGCCTGCCCACGATAGTGCTCTATAGAAGCAGTCAAGTCTGGCTTGGCTACAGGAACCCAATCCCAGTGACTTTTAGTAAGTCCTGTTTCTGAACTAAAGTCTATTCATCCCATGTTGAACATCCTCTTGTTCATTAGGAAAATGGATGCTTAGGAACAGCCCGCGAGTTATGATGTATAGAGATAAAGTCTTCTGGAGGGTGGGTATTGGGTTTATTATTATTATTAATTATTAATATTAAATATGGATTCCTATGAAAGCAGTCACTTAGCCCATCCAGTGGAGGCCTCTCCGTTGATGTAAGCAAAGCCAGGAAAGTGTTGCATGTGCTCGTACTCAGAATTCCTGCGCGTGGTCAGGGGTGTGTACATGTCACTAGAATTTCCATACCTCGTGGAATGCACGGTCGGGCTTGTGTAGCACGTGTTGGCTGTTGGCACCTCTGGCCAGCGGGGAGTGACTGGGGTAGGATGCAGCCTGGGAGTACTGCTCATCAAACAAGGTTCCATCCTGGAAGTGGGGCTATTAAAAGGGTACTTGTGGAGGAGAAAGAAAGTCCACAAAATTAAGGTTAGCTTGAAGTTGCCTGCACCCGAAAGCAAACTTATTTAAGTTAAAAAAAAAAAATGCAAGATACTTATTCACAGGAGTTGATGGAAAGGAATCAGGGAGCTTCTGTCCAACTTTGGTCCAAGGAAGCAATCAATGGGAGAGTCACAGAGGTTCTCATCACTGACTAGAGGCTGGCTGGTGTTCTGCTTACACAGAATGACTATCTGTGAGCTCAGAGTCTGCAATATTCTGAGCAGTCAAATTCAAAGAGAGAACTATCCCCAGCTGGGAATACTAGGTGGTGGTGATGCTGGTGATGGTAGTGGATGGTTGGGGTGGTGGTGCTGCTGGTGGTGGTGGTGGTGGTGGTGGTGGAGGTGGTAGTGGTGGAGGTGGTAGTGGATGGTGGATGGAGGTGGTGGTGCTGCTGGTGATGGTGGTGGTACTGGTGGTAGTGGATGGTGGATGGAGGTGTTGGTGGATGGTGGAGGTGGTGGTGATAGATGGTGGTGGTAGATGGTGGTGGTGGTGGTGGTGGTGGTGGTGGTGGTGGTGGTGGTGGTGGTGATGCTGGTGATGGTAGTGGTGGTTGAGGTGGTGGTGGTGGTTCTGATGGTGGTGGTGGTGTTGGGGATGTTGCTGGTGGTGGTGGTGGTGGTGGGGTGGTGGTGCTGGTGGTGCTAGTGGTGGTGGTTGGGCTGGTGGGGGGGTGGAGGTGGTGCTGGTGGTGGTGGTGGATGCTGGTGCTGGGTGTGCCTTTGTGTATACACACTAGCAAGTATGTCCAGTTAAGTGTGATTGCTGGACGGATGTGAGTTTTATCATTCCCTATGGAGATGTGATAAGTCCTATTCCATCAATCCAAGAGAACAGCACTACTAGGTAAAACACAAGACATTAAAAATCGCATTTTACAGTTGAATTCAATCATGAACCACAGCCCTAAGCAGGCTTTTGAAGAGAAAGCAAGCCAACAGCTTCAAAGGTTATTATTAGTGCCTGTCATTTAAAGAACAGCTCTCTTTCAGGTTCACACTCCTGGAGTCCTGGGAGACATGCCAGGAGGAAATGGTAAGTGACAGACAGGGGGGGCGGAGTCAAGAGAGACGGGGAGGACAGAGTCGAGAGAGACGGGAGGACAGAGTCGAGAGAGACGGGGAGGACGGAGTCGAGAGAGACGGGGAGGACGGAGTCAAGAGAGAGAGACGGGGAGGACGGAGTCGAGAGAGACGGGGAGGACGGAGTCGAGAGAGACGGGGAGGACGGAGTCGAGAGAGACGGGAGGACGGAGTCGAGAGAGACGGGGAGGACGGAGTCGAGAGAGACGGGGAGGACGGAGTCGAGAGAGACGGGGAGGACGGAGTCGAGAGAGACGGGGAGGACGGAGTCGAGAGAGACGGGGAGGACGGAGTCGAGAGAGACGGGGAGGCAGCAGGAAAGGGAACGCTGAGGCGAGTCAGGCCAAGGAGCAGGTGTTGGCAGAGACAAGTGGAAGGAAGACTCTGGAGAGTCAGGAGCAAGAGGGGCCTCCTTGTACATTCTTCACTGTCAGAAGGATCGCTATGGAAACAAGGCCTCTTTCGAATGATTGTGAGGGAGGGGTGGGAGGAGCTAAGGCTCCCCTTGGAGTTCATGTTTCCAGGCCCGTCAGCACAAAGATGTCCTTGCTATGCTTATGGCCAACAAGGACAGGAGCCAATGAACAAGAGTGACAAGGGCACCCCAGAGGAGAGGGTGTGTGGGTCCTTCTGCCCCCCATCTGTCCACCCTGACAGTTGGAGAGTGGAGCCCCCGGGATCAGGTGGGAGGTGCCTCCTGTGAGGGAGACAGACAGGCTGAAGCCTAGACAGCAGAAGCTGCAGACAACAATGGCTGTGCCCCGAGTCTAGATGGGCAAAGGAGCCCCTCTGCCTCTCGGAGCTGCATCCCGGTGGAAGCAGGCTACAGAGAGGAGGTTGGAATATGTGAGGAGAGCTAACTACTCAGAGCCCGAGCAGAGGGCTTTCAGGGGGAGTACTGAGAGTTTCCCCTCAGGTAGGACCTCATGCTCAACATAGCGAAGGACAGCCGCTGCACAAGAACAGTTCAGAAAGACGGTGGAGGAGGTGTCTGGGAACTCCAGGGAGAAGGACCAAGTGCTGTTGCCAAGGAGACTGCAGACAGCATGCCAAGGTTTTCATAATCCCAAATCAGATCTGCAGCACTGGCACAGACCCATGCGCTGTGCAGAATGAGGCCCCAGGCCACTGTTTGGGTGGAGTCATGGTAGGCCCTCAGGCCTGTGAATGGAGATTCTCAGAAAAAAGAATCAAGATCCCAGCTGTACTAGAAAGATAATATTAAGAAATATCAATGATGCTCTCCTAAGCGAAACGACTGGGCACCTGTCATCCTGGCCCCCTCTTTGGGACTGTGCTGGAGTAGAGGTCTCCCTTTTCATCTAGAGGCACACTGAGCTGGTCCTCCCTTAGGCCCTTCCTAAACTACTCCTTCCCCCAAGTTCCCATCACACCTGCCCTTTCCCCCACTTTTTAGCTCTCAGCTCAAACATCAACTCTTTGGAGTGATTTTTCTGGACATCCAATCTCAAGAAGCCAAATGCCCCCCCTCACCTCCACCCTGCCTGGCGGCTGCTTCTCCACTGGCTTACATTCAGAGGCTCCCTGTGGGGCTTTGTTTTGTTCATAGTGTGTCCCCCAAATTTGGAACAGTGCTTGGCACCTAACAGGTGCTAATCATTTTTGGTAAATGTAAACTGGAACATTCCCAGCAGAAAGGACCTGCAGGGTCATGAAATCTAGACTCACACTGTAGAAGTGGGAAAAGCTGGAGCCAGGCCGGATGTCACAGAGCATGACAAAAACCCAGAACGGGGTGGCACAATTTCCCCATATCAATCTGACTGACCTAAACTTGTCTTACCTACCACTCCCAAACCCCTTTCCTCTCTCATCTTTCTTCATCAAGACCTCTCCTCCTCCACGGAGCTAGGCCTTGGAATGCTGACCCAGGGCATTGGAAGCCTGCTGGCCTCTCTGGCCTTGGCCTGGGTAGGTAAAATGTCACAGTATGGACTTGGAACTCTTCCCACAAACTCAAGAGAGTGTAGTTGTTGTGCCTCGTCAAGGACCCTCAGCA